CTTAATTAATATAAAAATGACTGTCTTCTGGGTTGTAGCACAGTGTAGTACGGTAGAAGTTTATCGACATTTCAGAGGCCGTTTGTACCTCCGTCATCAGGGCGATCTGTCCTTATGATGGAGGCAGCAATGACCTCTGAAACGCTAATACACGTTGCTACAACCCAGAAAACAGCCATATTTGTACTCACCGCCGTGGAAACCTGAAATCCTACTTGATTAATGCATGCCTAGGACTGAAGAGAATAAAATATGACCGGCTTTAAAATGCGCCTGATTAGATAGGTTGGAATGCATTAAGATATGAACGCCGAAGAACGAGTGTTAGTGACAAAATACAGAGCTATGAGCAGGGTGCGTTTAAAGAACTGACCAGCTTAAGTGATCAGACTATGGGTGAGAATCCAGGTTATGGGTTACGCTCCACACTTACTTAATATATTCACAAGATACTTAACCATTATGATAACAGAGCTATTGCACATGCGCTGATAATAGGTGACGTCACGGTACCAGTGTTAACGTAATACATATGGTGGACAAGGTATCATTAACAGTTCGTGGTTTACAGTAGGTTTAGAGCGAAGCGGATAAACAGAAAATGAGATTCGAAAGTTAATACAAAGGAGACCAAAGTACTTACGATTCAAAAAGGGAGAAGGCAGAAGGATTCTGAGAGGTGGAGACTACAGGACCCACAATTTAAAACAGTAAGTGAATGCAACTATTTAGGGATGATACTTAAGATGGCATTGGGAAATGGGAGACACCGAAGAAGATAGACATAGTCAGAGACGGTCAGCGCTGATTATGAAAAAGAAGTGTTTTGTTGTGGTCTGTGCTTGGAAGTATGGACATTAGAGAAATGTAAAACTTGTTGAATAAATAAAGCTGTATCGTGCCGAAATTTGAGAAATCTGCTAGGTCGGAAAACAAATGAATGTTGGCAAATTTTGCAAGAGATAGTTAATGTTGCCAGGTAAACAGTAAATTATTCAGCTGCGCGTAAACAGAAAATGTAATATTAAGTGTTAGATGGTGGCCAGAATTATAAACTATTCGACCCGACTACTGTCCCTGAACATTTCAAATGGAACCACAACTTACATGAGACAGAGAATGTACAGACCTAGGAGAAGTAACTGGAAGTGTGGAATTAAGTAGGAATTTTCCAAAGACTTTCTTGTTAACTGCGTTTGCCCGAATAACACCTTCATAAACGAAGGATAAAACGTCTTCTGTCCTATTTATGCGGTTGTGGTACACCATACACTGGAGTACAGCAGCTTTCAACTTAATAAATCGTCCCTCTAGTGCGATTAGCCTCCTAGCAACGGATAAGAGTCCGTAAGAAAATAAACATCATGGTTAATCAAACACACAAATTCTTGAAGAACGTATTTGAAAAATGTTTTTACTCTGAATCTGAGTAGACTTTTTCACACTTAAAATATATAATAAAATTCAGGTCAATACACAAACTTTATTTAGATGTTAAAATTTAAAATTTAAATGTTAAAATTTAAAATTTAAATTTGCGCCATTCATCATTATAACGATGTTACAATAGAGCGCCTTAAAAGACAACACCTGAAGATGATGCTTTGCATCGAAACGTGTAGTAAAGTGAATAAAGGCGCTCTATTGTAACATCGTTATAGAGATGAATGGCGCAAATTTAAATTTTAAATTTTAACATTTAAATTTTAAATTTTAACATCTAAATAAAGTTTGTGTATTGACCTGAATTTTATTATATATTTTAATCATAAAACACAAACATGACGCATGTAAACCTTAAACTTGATAACATATTGTTGATAAAATATACTAAAATCAAATGGCACAATTTTAATAAAGAAAAATTAAGTCACAAATTTTTGATTTGAATTCTAGTATTTTTTTAATCAAAGTTGTACCTAAATTATTGTGTTAAATGTAGTTTAAAAATTTGACAGAAAAACATTAGATCCCCTCTATCCACCTTTAAGTTACATAATTTTCACTGACCATTACCAACTGCAGTAGGATATTAAAATTTACCTCCTAAGTTTTGTCAGCCGATGTCATTGACCTCTGTCCCATAAATCACCGTAATTTGTTATATGAGAACTTAACCTTGACGAGAAAATTCTTCGCCACAGAAAATAGGCAGAGAAAACTAACACTGTTGCAAAGCTGAAATATCACTAATTCATCATAGCCAATGCCCACAGTTCTACCAACAATTCTGTTCGTGAAATTCATCACTTTCCTTACTTTGAACAAAATTGTAACGCTTATTCCTAAATATATTATTCAATAAAGTGCTGGATAATTTTAACTGCACGTTACATTTGCTCTTGTTAATTAATTAATTAATTAATTTCCTTTTATTAGCCACAAATCTGGAATTTCAGCTTGAAACTCGAAGGAAATCGAAATATCAGTTCAGAGTTCTTTTATCTTAATAGGATTGTGTCTTAGGCGTGGGTCATGATCAGTCAAGCACTGGGGATCGTGAGTTTGAACAATTCTCTTCGAGGAGGGTAACAAAGGAGTCCTAATAAACGTCTAACAGACGTTTCGGAATGTTATAAATTCTCCAGCGGGCCAAGCCTATTAGGAGGTGTAAAAATTATCGACTCTTGTAATATTTCAGTCTTTATATAAATTAGGTTTTCGAGATAAATTTACGAGAAACTTCGAGACGTTGAATCACGATCAGCAATTATCAGTGACTAACATTGTGAATAGTTTTAAATTAAATTTATTATTCATATATTGAATTAGTATATTGATATAAATCATTTCATACGGCCTAATATTTCCTTAGCCTGCAATCGAGACTTAAATATCATTCACAGTCGCCTTTAAGATTCGTTTGAGGTAGCTGATGATATATGAAAGAATTTATTCTGCGTAAAAAGTTTCAAACACTGTGACAATATTTTTTATGTCATAAGGAATTAGGAATCCTGGAGGGTAATTTTTGAAGCAAGGTGCGTATACTATTAGAGACTCACGCATGTTTAGTTCAGTTAGAATATTTCGCGGCTGTTCCGGCCGAACGGTACGCTATGCGAGAATACTGCTTTGTCTAGTCTTAGCGGCACAGTCACTAAATAACTTTACTTTCTGGGCATTACCCCGAACCCATTATGATATTAATTCGCATATTATACTTTCTTACATTATTCTTTACGTCTCTAGCAGATTTCACTTCTCTTTTTTTGTGAATTTATAGCGTACTGGAGAATTTATTTTAATACACAAACATCCAGGATCCATTTCAAGTTGACTTCATAATAAAATTGTTTTATAATATAAAGGTATGGTTATTTAACTTTAGTAAACAAATAATTAACCATATTTCCTGACATCTTTTTCAACAAAAACCTATTAAAATTTTAATTCTTCAGTTAGAAAAATTGTAGAAAAGCAATAAATATTGTCTACTCTAAGATAATTTGTGGTTCTGTTTCAATTCTGTTACGTATATACTTTAAAATATAGCACGACCTTATTCTCCAACACATTAAAATTCATCTTGTAATTCGTCATTAGATGCTATACAGATTATGAAATGTCATAAAATTAAAGAAAAATTAACAGTGCCAATTCTGTATTTTCTGCAGTTTTGTCGCACGTAGTGCTCAGTTTGAAGAAAAGGCGTGCCCTTACATAATCAAATCCAACTTGATTTCAAAATTGTTTTTTGTGGTACCTGAAAATAATATTTAATTATAACTTCCTATCATATTTTTTCCACGTAGTTTCTCTGTTTCCAAGAAATTTCTAGAGCAGACAAAGCAATCCATTATAATTACGGAGTACGGCTACATATTTATGTGTGCGATCCATTAGCAGATGACAGCACAGAGAAATGATACCATCAGCCACGCCATCGACTGCAAAGTAGCGACCAATAATACCAAAACAAAAACTGTGCAGAGGTTAATGTAAAATACGTGTTTCTATAGAGAACATTATGAAATATTGATGCATTATTGGTATTATGATAAACTACGCTAACCGTTTCAAGCAGAACACGTCACGTAGCCTGTAGTATGAAGAATTAATGTATAAAATTTCCTACTAACGTATTTTCTATGCAGGTCCATGTATATATAAATTTGTCGCTTTTATTGACAGACGTATTTTTCGTATTCTGAATGATACTGGCTTCAGAAGATACCAAAGGAAATATTTATAATATTTTGAAGGAGACTAGAAGTAAAATTATTCATGTCCCATTCGATAGTAGAGCGAAAATCAAGGATTTTGAATTGGGCTGGTGTGCTACTAGCTTTTGCGTTATAAATTTTAATCTCTCTTTTGTCTTGTCATATTTCTGTTAATGTATCTGAGAAAGTGAATTTGTAAAAATTGAGAAGTCATTCCTAGGCGTCCTTCGAATAAAGACTTACAAAACCAAAATCCCAACTACGGGGCCACTTTCATCAAAACTCGGTTCACTAGACGTAAGCCTACACTTAATTTTTGATGCTGCTTCAATTTCCCTAGTTTGGTTGATTTTTAAAAAAAATATATGAATTTAACGGACTATATTATCCTAAAACTCTAATACATTTTTGTCTTTAAAACTAATAGATTCTGTTAGAATATAATATAAACGTGATCTATAACACTTTTGTTGTTCTTTTGTACGATTATTAATATTTCATAAATCAAATTTAATTTTATCTAGTTGACGGTACCTATTTTTATTGCAGACATTATTTCAGTACTTCGTAGACACATACTTGAATCGCTCTGATGACTGAGGCAGTATGACCTCAGAAACGTTGGTTAACATCGACCTGATTCCACAGCGCAACAACCCAGAAGAGAGAAATCTTCATACTCTGATGACGGAGGCAGTATGACCTCTGAAACGTTGGTAAACATCTACCAGACTACACAGCGCAACAAGCCAGAAGACAGAAATCTTCATACTCTGATGACGGAGGCAGTATGACCTCTGAAACGTTGGTTAACATCGACCAGACTCCACAGCGCAACAACACAGAAGGCAGAAATCTTCATACTCTGATGACAGAGGCAGTATGACCTCTGAAACGTTGGTTAACATCGACCAGACT